TGCCCTGGATGTGCTCACCAAGTTGTGCCAAGAAATCTGGAGAACAACCACTTGGCCAACTGACTGGAAGAGATCTATATTTGTTCCCATTACAAAGAAAGGTGACCCAACTGAGTGTGGAAACTACAAGACCATGAAAGAGTGGTTAAATTGGTGGTTCTCCAGGCTGCCAGGACAGTCCCACCATATCTGGAAGTGTCACTGCCCAACAGCCACTGCTCCTGCAAAGCCCATTATTGTGTCTTTTCTTTTGGCATTCTGTGGGATAGCCAGTACTCTTCTCTAGCACTACAGCTCGACGACCTCTATTCTCCTTCTGTCATCATCAATCACTGTTCAACTCAAAGACATATAGCATGTGAAGGTTCAGACCATGAACCAGGTGCACTTTAGTTTTTAAACTGACACCATTGCTCCTTGGTGCTCTCTAGAGAAGTCCATGACAGGCAGACCCTTTAGTAATTTCCAGGGTACATATAATTTTGCAGCGATAATGTATACATGAAAGAAAGGAGGAGAAAAAAAATATATGTATGTATGTATGTGTATGGTTGGAAATTTATATATGGGTATAGGGAACTCTGGTGACCTTAGCGGTAAGGAGTTGCACTGCCAACCCAAAGGCAGGTGTTTTGAATCCACCAGCTGCTCTAAGAGAGAACGATGAGCAGTCTGCTTCTGTATGATTTGTCTGAAAACCCACTAGAAGGTCAACTATAAGTCAATTCCAACTCCATGGCAATGATTTGACTCTTTGTTATAAATTATTGTTATATACCTATGAGAGGCACACACTAATGATACGAGGCACACACCACTGATGCAACGCACACACCAGTCATTGCTGCTGGTCAGTGGAGTCTTGAGAGAGGGGAGCAACAGACGGGCAGCCGCTAAGTAAGTGGAGGCAGGTGGAGACCGCTCAAGAGACCAAAGCTGCATCCAGCAGCTGCATGAGGGAGTGGAATATTGGTGGCTTCAGCCTCAAGACAAGAGTGGAGCAGCAGCAGCAGGATAGACAGACAGAAGTGACTGGAGGCTTGAGCCACCATATCTAGGCTTGGGAAGAGGGGAGGAGAGTGCTGACCAGATAAGGCAAGGTTAGAAGGGGAGGGTAGAAAGGGGATGCTGGAGGAAGTGAATGCTGGCAGAGCAGGGCAGGGGCAGAATCAAATCTCTGGCACCAAAAGTGTGTGGGGGAACCAGCACTTCTGGATAAATGTTTGTCAGCCAGATTTTGCTTTAAGGCAAACTAGAGAGAAGGGTTGACTATTCACTTCTGAAACAACAGGCCTTCGAAAGCCCTATGCACAATAGAGTACACTTAAATTAAACTAGCAGATAAGGATGACCCCCCCTGTTGGCAGAGGAGGAGGAATAGTTGCAAGCAGACACTACTTATTAATAGGTGGAATGTGGGAAACATGAATACAGGTAAATTGGATCTTGCTAAGAGAGAAACGGAGTGCATAAATAATTGACTACAAGGCACTGGCGAAATTATTTGGATTGGCATGAGACATTTTTAATCAGATGATTTACTAGGCTGAAAATGGAAAGTTGAGGGGAAAAAAGGTTGCATTCATAGTTTAAAAGACCATTTCCAGATCCCTCTTAAAACACAATGTTGTGAGTGACAGGATAATATCAGTATGTCAGTATCACTATCATTTAAATATATGCACCAACAACTAGAGAAGGAAATAGATGATTACTGCCAGAAATAGATCTAACATGCAACCAGGATTCAGTAATAGTAATGGGTGACTGGAGTGCAAAAGTTTGGAATGGAGAAGGGTCAGTAGTAGGAAAACATGGGCTTGGTGATAGAAAAAAAGTGAGAGATAAAATAGAATTTTGTACAGTCAGTGATTTATTCATTGCAAATACCTTTTTTAAGAAACATAAATGGTGACTATAAACATGGACCTTACCTGATGGTCTGCACAGGAATCAGATTGACTATGTCTGTAGAAAGAATCACTGGAGAAGCTCTTATCAGCTGTGAAAACTAGGCCAGGTGCTGATTTGGAAGAGACTATCAACTACTCATATACAAGTTCAAACTGAAGCTAAAGAAAATAAAATCCACAAGAACCAAAATTTGAACTTCAGGCTATCCTATCTGTATTTCAGGGACAGATTTGAGGCTTTGAACACTAATGAACAAAGGCCATATGAGCTGTGGGAGGATATCAAGACAGTTATCCATTAAGAATGTAAAAGGTCATTACAAAGACAAAAGAGGCAGAAAAGACCAAGATGAATGTGGGAAGGGACTGACTATTGATTGCACTATAGTACTGAGAAGTCAAAGCAAAGGGAAGAAATCAAGAAGATAAGAAGCTGAACAGACGATTTCAAAGGGCAAAGTATTATAATGAAATGTGCAAAGA